CCACTTCACTGGGAGGAGGGGGGACTGTGTACTAGCCACTTCACTGGATTCCTTCTTGGGTCTTGGATGAGGAGTCTGAGAGCTTGAGAGGGTCCTGACCTTCTTTTTGGGAGGCTGTGTTGTTGATGTTGTGTTTGTGTGGCTTCTTTTAAAATCATTTTGTTTTTGGTGTATTTTATATACTTGGCCATTTAATTTTAATGTGACCTAATTCTATTTTCTTTCTTCTTTTAGATCTCTCTCTCCCTCTTTCTGTCTCTCTTTTTCTGTCTCTCTGTCTGTCTCATCTCTGTGTGTGTGTGTGTTTGTGTGTGTGTGTGTGCATCTGTGTGTGGTCTATCTGCATATAAATATGAGGGCATACTTATCTCTGTCTGCTTGTGTCGGGGCTGGAGATCAACTTTGGATCTTTCTTTACTGCTTTCTATCTTATTTTTCAGACACTATCTCTCTCTGAACCTGGAGCTTGCCATTTAGTCAGATTGGCTGGCCAAGAGGCCCATGGAGTTTGCTTCTCTCTATATCCCCAGCATTAGGGTTACAGGTGCATACCTCCGACTTTCACGTGGTTTTCCGCATCTGCACTGTAAGCCATCCACCCTCAGAGCCGTCTCCTCAGCTCTCTTGCCCACGTTCTTACCCTGCATCTTGTCATGCTGGTTTTCTCATTGGGCAGAGACCCAGGATGCTGAGCCACTCTCATGCCTCATTAGTCAAGATATTTATTTCCATTTTAACTCACTGTCAGCAGAAGAGCTATATGTTTGACTTTAGTGAGTTAATTAAAGGGCTTCATATCTTAATGTTTTATTTTTTTTAAGACCAAGGAAAACTCACCCAAACATGACTCCTGTAGAATTTTTGTAACTGCAACTGTTGCCAACTATCCTTCCCTCGTCCATCAACCTACCATCCATTCATGTATTCGTGCATATCTACATACATACATACATACATACATACATACATACATTATTCACCCACCATCCCATCCATCCATTCATCCATCATCCATCCACCAGTATCCATCCAACATACATACATACATACACACATTTTCCAGCCATCATAATACAAGCATACATGCATATATGTATACATTATCCATCCACCACCCCATCCATCCATCCATCCATCCATCCATCCATCCATCCACCAGTTCAATCACCATCCGCCCACACACCCATCTATAATGTCCATCATCCACACATTAATCACTCCTCATTCACCTATTGTCTATACAACATCTGAGTGACCTCAGAGTTGTGGTGCACATTAATAATTTTAGAAACAATTCTCTTTTCAAAGAGATTCTGATGTAAGAACATAGGGTTCCTAAACATACGAAGTAGAGTTCCCCTCATAGTAATTTTAACATCTATATGTTTGTACTATTGGAGACTATGAGTGCATATGACAGAAACTCAGATCAAACTAGGTTTGTAATCTCTAGCTTCAGAGATAGCTATACCTCTGTATCTCTAGTTTTCGGGATGTTGTCCCTTTTTATGCCTTATCAGTTCTTGTCTTCCCGTTGACTCCATTCTTGGATGGCCTCTTTCTGGTGGCAGAAAAGTCACCTGTTGGAAGCCCTAGCCCTATGTTATTCTTTAGTTGTGAGTCCAGAGAATGAAAAAGCCCCACCCCCTTCTCCCTGGATTCATAGTGTTAAATCTTAAGAAAGAGCTTCTCTGGTCTTGCTGAGGTCACGTACACATCTCTCAGCCAATCATAAAGGCCGAGGGAATATTGTTCTTTGTCATTTGTTGGGGTCCTTATGTAATTCCTACATTTAGAAACTTTGGGGGGGTTGGAGAGGAGAGCCATTTCCTATAGAGACTTCACTAGGGTCACCTGGGACTCGTGGAATGTGGTTCATCAAAGGAAATATTGGAGTTGTGGCTGACAAAGGCAGAAGGAGACAATGCTGGCCAAGGAAAGGACAACCAGGGAGGAGGCAAATGCTCTTCAAGTTTTACAAGATAAAAGGAGAGGAAGGGAAGGTGTTTCCTGGAATGGCAGGGACATGTGACCGTTCTCACACTTCCAGGCTGTCACCATAAGTGTGCCACACATTTGAGTGGTCATAGAGATACTCTGAGAACATTGGCACCTTCACAACTGAAATTTTTTAGACAGGAAAGGAAAAAACAATGAGCAAGCCATGGATGGCGGGATCTGGTTATTGCCTTCACTGTAAAGAAAGGGTTGTGAGTGAATCTAGGGGAAGCTGGAGTCGTGGGGGTGCATATGGTGGAAATAACGGGTACTAAATTCTCAGAGAACCAACAGTACCAGTTACCCATAATTCCACGTTATCGCCAATGTTCTCCATCACCCATAATTCCCTTTCTGCTTTGTTACAGTCTCATTGCAAACCAGAAAAGGTTAGAAATCATCAATGAAAATGACGTTGACGCTTACGTGGGGCTGACAAACCTGTGAGTACTCACCATGTCCACACATTATGTCAGAGGCTTGTCTCGTGTTCCGCTGTGGTCAGGTAGGTAATTTGCTAGTTACTCCTAACGTGAATGCCATTATGTGTTTTTTTTTTTTTTTTTTTTTTTTGCAGGACGATTGTGGATTCCGGCTTAAAGTTCGTGGCTCACAAAGCGTTTCTGAAAAATAACAACCTGCGGCACATGTGAGTACAGCCGCCTCTTTGCTTCCCAGGACCCGATTTGTTCAGTATTTTTCTCACTCTTCTTTATTTTCCTTCTTTGCCAACTCTAAACCTCCTTCTTAAAAGTTAGCATAGCTGTGATAATAGCTTAGGAACATTAGCTTTGATTCTGTTTGATTTCTGAATGGCTTCAGAGGGGTACTTAGAACAGCCTGTTTATTTCCTTTCATGAATTTCTGGGCCATTTCCATCTTGGACAGAGTGCTGGGCCAACGGCAAGGACTCTGATGTGAAAATGATGTCCTTGTACAGAGTCCTTGATTCTTTCCCTTGGAATCAAGACACGCTCCCTGGAAGACATCAAGTCAACTAATCAAGACGCTGACTTGGCCTTGGACGGTTTAAGAAAATAAAAATTACGGTTGCTTTTCCCTTTATAATAGGACCGTTTGAACGTTCATTTTCTCAACAGCATGTGCCATAGATTGATAAACACAGAAAAAAATATCAATCACTATCACTGCCAAAGCTCCAGGTGACTCTTAATAGTAGAAACTGCTATTCTTCCAAGTTCTGTTGGTATTTTTTTGACTGAAGTCAACTGGAAATGCAACAAATATGAGTTGCTATGTGGTTTTCTGGTAAGTCCCCTCAATCATATGAGTTAAGTCAATAAATTATGGCCTCCCTGAGATCTTATTAGACAAGTCACCCGAAAGACAAAAGTATCCACGGCCCCGCCCCAAGCTCACATTCCCTCACACTGTGAGTTTCCAGTGGAAATCTTCTGCTGGAGAGCTGTTACCTGATTGACCAAATTCTCTTTTCAGCGATAACTTCAGCACTTCACAGTTTACCTGCAGGGTCTCACCTGGACATTTCTCTTGTCTAGACTGATGTCTATATCCCCAGGAAATGGGCAAAAATCCAGTCTGAGAACTAGGGGACTTAACCAGGTGACTAGCTCCTTACCGTGTTCTTAAAACAGGAGCAGAGGAGATAAAATTTCTGCCATTGCCATCATCTTGTAACATCTGTCCATCTTCCCTTTCCCGGGGACAATAGTTCCTGACTTCTATGCCGGTTATTGAAGTGATCACTGTCTCAGAACAGCCTGTCTGGATGCTCCATGGAGATGTGTTCATATCACCGAAGACCCTAAATTTCATAAAGCCATTATCATGGGTTCATATTTCATATGTGACAGGAATGATGAAGCCACTTTCTAAGATACAAAACATTTCTGCAAAACCAGGATAGAACTTGGGGCACATTTTCTTAAAACACTTCTTGACAGCCTGTCTGGGTCAGTTTGCTGGGGGCAGACTTGATGTGTGTGTAATCCTTGGTGGCGCAGCCCAGACAGCAGTAGAAGAATGGAAAAACACCCCACTGCAACCTCTCAGAAGTAATTAATGACCTCAATAGTTACATTTTTGAATTTTGATTACAGATGACCCTAGACACAAATCACCTAGCAGTTCCAACGTGTGTTGTCTGATTCCTTGGGGGGATTGATGCTCCTGCTATAATATGAACAGTGGGCTGTGGCTAATTGTAATTTTATTGATAGCCTCTGTGTGTGTGTGTGTGTGTGTGTGTGTTTATACATGTGCATGGTGATAGAATAATTTTAATGATGTTGTAGCTTCCGTATCCAGCTTACATTAAATTATGTATCTGCCTCACTCAAGGATAGATATTCTATACAGCTTCCTTACCAGACCACAACCAGGATCCAATAATTGATCAAACTTCAAATACTTTATGGATGTGTGTAGCTATTGTCAAGCAGTATGGCCCAATGAAATTAGGCAAGCGTTCAGACAGTGGCAAAGAGAGGTGAGATACCAGCTAGCTTCACACCCAGCCGCATGAAGAAAGAGGCTCTTCCTAGCTGCAGTTGGGTAGCTTGCCTTGGAGGATGGAAGAGATGCAGGAGGAGTCGGCTCCAGCATCTGTCTTCTGTCCTAGTCTCTGCTTGGGACTGAGGGCCCTGGAACCAGCTTCTTTAGCCTGGGTTTTCTGGGTTATCAGCACACTGAGGTGCACATGGCTAGTGAAGAAACATGTGCTAGAAGCTGTCTCTCTGTAGCCCAAGGCTGGCCTGAAGAGCCCGCTGGGCTCCTCTACCTATATAGAAATTAATGGAGGAGTTAGAGAAAGGACTGAAGGAGCTGAATGGGTTTGCAACCACACAGGAAGAACAACAATATCAACCAACCAGACCCCTCAGACCTCTCACAAACTAAACCACCAACCAAAGAGTACACATGGAGGAACCCATGGCTCCAGCCGCATATGTAGCAGAGGATGGCCTTGTCGGGCATCAATGGGAGAAGAGGCCCTTGGTGCTGTGAAGGCTCCATGCCCCAGTGTAGGGGAATGCCAGGGCAGGGGGAAGGAAGGAGTGGGTGGGTGGGTGGGGGAACACCCTCATAGAGGCAGAGGGAGGGGGATGCGATAGGGGGTTTCCAAGGGTGAAACCAGGAAAAGGGATAATGTTTGAAATGTAAATAAAGAAAATATCCAATAAAAAAAAAGAAAAAGAAAAGAAATGAGGGACAGATGGGTTTGCTGTAGGGGACCTGACAGGAGAGCCCTGCCTTATCTTTGCCTCAGTTTGCCTGGTCCATGCTAGTCATACAGCCACCATTCAGTGCTGGTTCTCTGAATGTATGTCGGGGTGCCTTTAATTGCTGCCCAGCCCCTAAAACCCCTGGGACTGTGAGAAAAGCCAGCTTTTGTGTTTTCCAGAGGCTTTGCCGAGGTGCTAATTAGGCTCTTAGCAAAGTTTTACAATCAAACAGTAAGAGGATTGTTGATTTTTTTTCTTCCTTCTTCCTCCTTTTTGGCTTTTGGCCCCATTCCTAAGTATGCTTCATAAAACTCATCTTGTTCTTTGGCCCGTAACCCCGAGCTGCACTGTGCTTCTGGCAACCCAACCTAGCAGCTGCTTCCAGGGAGGGCAGCGCGGAGCTGACAGGGGGAGGCAGCTCCATAGGGCAGCACAGAGCTGCGCGGAACTGATGGGGAGGGGCTGCTCCATAGGTCCATAGGTCCGCTGGAGCTGATGGAGGGGTGTGGGTAGGGGTGGGGGTATGGGGAAGACTGCTCCATAGGGCAGCACGGAGCTGGTGGGGAAATTTCATCGTCCCTCTTTTTGCTTCTCTCCCCCTCCTGGTCTCTGCTTTCCTCTCCCTTCTCTTCCCCTCCCCTTCTCCCTCCCCTCCTCCCTCCCCTCCCCTCTCCTCTCCTCCTCCTTCTCTTCTCCTCCCTTCATTTCCCTCCCTTCCCTTCCATCCCTGCCCCTGTACCCCTTTTATTTATCTTGGGGGAGAAGAACAGATTTTTTTTCTCTTTTTCAGAAAGATTGGGCTTTGTGCTGAGTATGAACATATCTGAGCCTTAAAGACAGGCAGAGATTTTTGGCGTGATATGCTCCACAGAAACCACTCTTAATTCATGTCCTCAAAGAGAGACTTACATGGGCATGTCTTACCACTCCCTGATGGGTTATATGTTCATCTGGGGTACCCTTTTCTGTGGGTGAGCACATTGTACTAGTGTGAATGGTGAAGATGCAAGATTACAAGGCATAAGAGCATCTCCCTGTGGGCCAGGGTTCAGGTGGGTGGGAATCTTCCTGAAGGCAGTTCTCTGGATGGACCACCACCCATTCGTGAGCTAACCCTTTCAGCCCGTGATTTAGCTCCTACAGATGGCTGAGATGTCATTGGCCTGACAGCGTACTAGCCTCAGGTACAGGGCAGGGCCAGGGTTACTGTCCCTAGCAGACTTTCTTCTTAGACACCTGCCTGCCTGGGCTGCATGAGAAACCAGGAGCTTCGTGGATGGGGTCTTGGATGTTTTTGTGGACGGATGTGGCTGTTTGTTTTTATACGTTTGTTGCTTGTCGGAAATACCCGTCCACAGGCTCAAGAACTTTAAGTAAATTTTAAACAGTAAACAAATTCAGCTGCCAGGCTCATTGGAAACACTTATTCACACTACAGAAAACATGCGTTTGGAACACACCAGGAAATTCACAAGGTTGTTTTCTCTCTCTCTCTCTCTCTCTCTCTCTCTCTCTCTCTCTCTCTCTCTCACTAAAGCCTGACACATGTCTTGTTCCCCAGGGCTGGCCCTGGTCTCTTCTCGGAGCTACTCCCTCATCAAGGTCATGTATAAACGGTCCCACCAGGCGGTGTCAGTCAGCATGTGTGTTCCTTCCTGGAAGGACAGTTGAAAGTCTGTCTAGTCCGAGTTTTGTTTGTCACATACCTCAAAAATGTTCAAGAGACTCTTTAGTTTAAGGACCTCTTTTTTCCCCTCTCATGGGCTTATAATGTGACATTTTATTACATATTCCCCCAAAGCTTTGGGAGCTCAGCTGGGCAGAGAACTGGACTTTGAATCGATATACAAAACATAAACTTTTGGGTGAAACAAAGATACTAAAAAGAGACTCTGAGAAATGTATACTCTTCTCTCAGTGCATAGGAACCATAAGAGAGGCAGGGACCCCAGGAAGTTATCTTTTCAGGTTAAAAGACACAACTGGCTCCCAGTAAGATGGGTACCCCAGTCTAGGAAAATTACATTTTGAAAACAAAACCACTGTCTGAACATATCATTCTTAAATCATGACCTTTAAAGTTACACTTAACTTATCTGATTTCTTTCAGTAATTTCACACGAAACAAGCTGACAAGTTTGTCCAGAAGACATTTCCGCCACCTTGACTTATCTGACCTGTAAGTAACGATTTTGTCTGGCATTTGGGCAGAAATTTTCAAAAGAAAGGATAATTAAGTATTTTTTTTGAATGAGTACCATTGCAAGTGTATGTTTCATCAAATTTATTGAAAAATGTTTTCTCTAGCTTCGCTATTGTAATCCGATTGGGGGTTTACAGTCTCTATCTCCTTTATAAGTTATTATGATCAGTTGAATGTCGTTTTTCACATAAATAATTTATTTTCTAATAGAGAGAAAAGAGGAAAAAAAACAGCAGGGAGTTCTGTGCTAAAGTAGCTTTATATTTCATCTCATCTGGGTCTTGTTTTATTCAAGCCCTGAAATAAAGCACGTTCGTCAAAGAGGAAATTACAGCGGATAAAACACCCTTCCAGCTTTGTCTGTCAGCCCAGTATAGGCTTGGGTAGAGCCAACCCTGGCAGAGAAATTATTCCCAGAGCCGCCATCTCTGGGAGCCGTTCTTTTGGGTTCACCCTTCTGCTTGATATTTATCCTTATGCCCTCTTGGGGCCACGTTGATGGCTAGCAGTCAGCACTCCCGAGGTGCTCAGTTCTCAGTGTAATCAACGCCAGGCAAATAGGAAAGGCTGCCACTGTTGTGGTGAGGTGCTTGAGAGGACCCCAAGGTGTGTGAGGCTTGAGGGACAGGGCTCTGGATCTCAGGAAGAAGCATCAGCTTAACTGTGGCACTTAAAAAAATTCTCTGGGAAAGTCAGGAATATGAGGTGGGGAGGAGTCATCACACGTCGAAAGCTGAAGGGGGAACTGAGGGTTTTTAATGATGCTTCACAGCTCAGGGTAGAGGAAGAGGGTTCTAGGGCCACTGTCCTGTCTGCTTTGAGACAACAGAGAGGTGGAACTGGGTCTTGGTTCTGGCTCCCAACTTGGGGGTGGCTCTTGTCCTCCCCTTCCTGTTGATCCAGGTGGTGATGGGGTAAGAGTTGACTTGAGCTCTGAATACCAGGATGAAGTCCCCTAGAGAACGAACCACAATGGAAACCCAGCCTCCAAGGCTGATACATGAGAAGGCTGCCTGTAAGCATGCGCCAGCTACAGCCAGGCTGGCATGTGCACTTCTGAGTGCTGGTTGCCCCAGGTGGGCAGCTCCTTGTCATCTCAACAGAGATATCCTGGAATAACTCACACAGGGCTTGAAGAAGATGAGAACAGTTTACATCAATCCATAGGGAACCATCTTGCTGGAAATAGTTACATCCACCAGAGCTGGCAGGCAGGTCTAGTTTCTGAGGATAGTATACGTGTCTGTCTGTCTCTGTGTGTGTGTGTGTGTGTGTGTGTGTAGGATGTAGGACTTTGGTCTTGACAGATAGTAGGAGAGTTGGGGGGGGGGTGATGACATGATCTCAAAATTAACACCAGAGGAAGGAGAGCTCACTGAGTTAGGCATTCAGGACAAGACATACATGACACCTTTACATTCCTATAAAGAGGGTCTTTCACTATGTTCAAGCACAACATATGGATGCCCCTAGTGGAGAGGTCACAAGTGTACAAGCAGGAAGGGGGTCACATGGTGAAAGTCTTGAAGACTGGCAACTACTTAGAATAAACTAACTTTACTTCCTTGAGTTACTTTACATTTATACTAGCTATATATTTCCTTGGGTACAGTATGATTATATATATGTATGAGTATATGGATATATATATATATATATCATATATTGAACACTCAAAATATTTTCTTCTACCTATTATGAAATACAAATTACATAGTAATCAACATAGTAAGCTTACTACATGGCAGAATGCTACCTACCTTGGTCTGACCGTGGCTTTGTACCCCAGTTGCCAGGCTGTCTCCTCCACCCTTCCCAGCACCCAGCAACCACTGTCCTGCACCTTATGTCTGTAAGGCTAGTTTAATTAGCTCACACATGGCATTGAGGACATGCCTCTTCTGTGCTTTTGGTACTTCTAACACAGGCAGAGACGTGATACCTCAGAGGCAGCCGTGTGACACACACTGAGGTGTTCCGGGTGAAGGTGTTGGGCACCACTGCACAAACTTTCCTGGATGGATTCAAAATTAGATGCTTTCCAGTTCATGTTTCGAAATTCCACTAACAGCACTGTTCAACGACACACTCAGTAGGTGTTGACCATGTGCAAGTTACCTGTTAGAATGAAAGAGAGTAGTTTGTGTCTAGGATTCTGTCCCTTAGTGGGAGAGGTGAGTGCCTAAGCAAATCAGGAGGACCAGCTCTCTGCCAGGGCTGTGTGGTCATGGAAACCCCCTGGGCTTTGTCATTGAAACATCTCTTCCATTTTTCCTCCCACTTAGCTTATTTGACTATAGCATCGTTTTAGAAAGACTTCAGCTATTTGAGTACTCAGAACTCTAGGAATTATCCTGGGCAACTTGAGCCTGATCCAAGGGTGGGCCTCTTTTCTGTCTCACTGTCCATGTCTCATAGCATCCAGTCCTGTTTTGATATTGGCGGGGTACTTGGAGATGGGCGAGCAGATACAAATTAAAGCAGTCTACCATGACCACACTTCCCCCCATGAAACTCACAGAAAAGTCTCCGGGGAATCTCCGAGATTCTTAGAACGCAATCAGAAAACCACAGGAGTAAATGATGTTGCAAAGCCAGGTCCTGTCCTCAGGAAATCTTAAGTGTTGTGGTTAGTGCTAGGCAGTGTATGCAACGATTGAAAATGACCTCATTTAAGGGTTCATTATCATAAATGGGATTCATCTTAAATAGGCCACTGAGCATTATAAATAAGCACTAAAGATTTTTTCCCCCCTGTGGTTTTTGTTTTCCTTCTCACACACTTCCTCCTTCACCCGCTGTAGTACCTAGCAGTCCAGACAGCATGGCTGAGGCCTGGCTGGCAGTGTGTTTTTCTGTACCTGTCCTGTGTAGACTCCTCAGCCTCGGAGCCCAGTGAGCTACCGTGCGAAACCCTCACAGGGTTGAAGATGTGTATATATGTCCTCTGCCTCTCTCCCTTCCAGTTTCTGCCCTCAGCTTTTTTGCTTGGATGAAAAGGCCTGGGGGGAGGGGTGGGCAATACGAGATGGCAAGCGAGAAGGCCTCCTGGCTGGTACACCTCAGCCTTAGATCGCTAACTCTAATTTCATTTTCAATGGAGACAAAATGATTCTGCTCCCCCGCTGAAGCAAGAACTCTTAAATCTCTAGCCTGGTCAGAAATAGGATGTGAACACCTGTAAAAAGTCGCCATTAGCATCTCCACTTAAGTACAAGAATGGCACCTCGCCCCATCATGAGATACTCTGTCGTGGCTGTGTTTGTTCAGATCTGTTTTCCCCTAAATGTTCTGCAAAGTTTTGCATCTCTTTGCTATCCTTAGCCTCTACCGTTTTGTTTGCACATAACAGCAGAGCAGTAGTTATTAAATAATGCGGTGAATAATAAGCACTGTCATGCCGTCAAAGTGGGTGTGACTTTCAAAGGTTGGCGGCTAGCATGTACTCCTCCTGTAACCGCTAGCGAAGCCGAACTGGAGGCGGGGGGGCCTGACTGGGTTGTGTTTCTGTTCCTTTAGGATCCTGACCGGAAATCCATTCACATGCTCCTGTGACATTATGTGGCTCAAGACCCTCCAGGAGACTAAATCCAGCCCTGACACTCAGGATTTGTACTGCCTCGATGAAAGCAGCAAGAACACGCCCCTGGTGAACCTGCAGATACCCAATTGCGGTAATTTACTTTTAATCAATGAGTTCTAGTTGCTGTAAATTAATTCTCATTGTCTTGGTATGGTAGTGGGTCTGGGAAGGACACCACTACCCAGACTTCTCAGTGTGTTGTGGAAGTCTCTGGACAATCAGACGTTCACATGCAGTGTGGAGGAGCCAGTTGGGAGCGCCTTTAGTGAATTTTCTTCCCAAGTAGAACATTGCTTCTGAAAGGCTGGCATTAAAGAATATAAAGGGCCGGGCGGTGGTGGCGCACGCCTTTAATCCCAGCACTTGGGAGGCAGAGGCAGGCGGATTTCTGAGTTCGAGGCCAGCCTGGTCTACACAGTGAGTTCCAGGACAGCCAGAACTACACGGAGAAACCCTGTCTCGAAAAACAAAACAAAACAAACAAACAAAAAAAAGAATATAAAGGAAAAGTATCCGGTTAATTCTTCTGTTGATTTGCCTGCCTGTCCGTCCACCATCCATGCATCCCTTTGACTATCTGCTTCTCCAAAAATATGCGTGAAGAGTACAGGCCTTCCCAAGTCACACACACACACACACACTTGATTGGCATGTAGGCCAAAGGGAAGCCCACAGGACTCTGAAGGAGTCTTAGCAGCTGAGGTAAACAATCTAAACCTTCACATCCTTAGGCTCGCACTTGCAGCATGCTTCTGGCTCTTGTGCCATGGCCGGCTGCACTCCTGCCTGCTCAGCCCTGTGCCTGGGTCCAGCCTCTACTGTCCCCTCCTGCTCTTCCCAACACTTCCATCTGGAGAGTTTAAATAGACACCTTTGGACAAAGTCCAGCTCTCAGCGAGAGCTCATGTCCCGCAAGGAGGAAGAGCAGGGTCAAGGTCGCTATGATTTATCTCTTCAATGACACATGTGGGTGTTATTCCTTCATCGAAATTTTAATCTGCTAGTCAAACAGTTGACAAGCTCACAGACAGTTCTGTTTGCTCTTGCCTGGTGGCGGGTGACAAAGCGAGAGCATGCCACGTGGTGCCTTGTTTGTTATCTCCAGGAATGTGTGTAACCATCTCCCTCCCGGAGCCCCTGTCTTTTATTTAAGAACCACACTATTGCTGCTGACTCTTAAGGAGGATTTAATGATGGTAATAAAAGGTAAGAGCTTGTTCCGTACTCTGGAGGACCTTAGAAGACAGCGCTCACTTGTCACACAGATTTTTCTGTCACAGACAGTCTTGTGTTCTCATTGTGGAGAAACTAGACTTTATTCACCTTGCCTGCTTCCCTCAGCCTTCCTTGCCAGCCAACAGACAGACAAACAGACAAAACTACCATACCAAACAACTATGTGTGTGTTCTCGGCTGATAAGAGCTGGCTGTTCTGTACACGTTAGAACTGCTGAGAGAAGCTGCCTCAAGGGACAGGATAGGTGCTGTTGGTCACCTGGCCATCTGGCTTGCACCCAAATCCCCACAGCTGTTTTGGCCTCCTGTCCAGGAAACACGGAACAGAGAACATCTGACACAGGCCCCTGTCCCACAAGCTGCATCTGAATGGGTGGCTGCTTTGTCCTTGTCCGACACCAACTCTTAAATGGCCATGCAGTCTTGACATGGGTTCAGAGGGGACCCATCATTGGTGTGGTTGACCCTTGAGATGTGGACAGAAGAAATGTTTGAAGTAAACAGATATTTATTTTTCTCAGTCTGTCTATCTTTAGTATTTTTTTTATTTCTTTTGTTTAACTACATATTTCTTGGTGAATTATGTTTGAGAGTAGTATTTTCATATCAACTTACCCCCTTGGGAGGTGATCTGAGCTTTGATTGATTCCCTAGGACTAAATGGTCACATCTTTAACCCACTTGAGTATCAACAGTGCCTGTTAAAACAGCATTTGGGGCTGTGTCAGGTGACTCTGGGTGCTAGGTGTTTGTTGATCCCTGTTCAGAAGTTGCTCTGTGCTTTCCTTCCTTGTTTGTGTTTTTCAAGGCATTTTACATTTGCCATGCATAAGTAATATCAGTACAGTTTGTCGTAAAAAGTATTTCCCTGCACTCTAGAAAAGCAGCGTTTTCATTTGTATCTATAATCTTGTTAGGTCAATACTGACAGACTCATGATATTCTTTCTAACTATTGCATAACGTTTGTGGTCAAATGTGTCTTAATTCCAGTAAGTGTTCCATGCTGATGGTAGCTTGGCTCATTTCCAACTTTAGAGAAGATTTTATTTTTATTTGTTTTAATTAAAATTATATATGTACCTGAGTGTATGTATGTGCACCTCATGCATGCAGTACCGACAGGAGCCAGAAGAGGGCGTTTGATTCCCTTGGGACTGGAATCACAGCTTGTGAGCCACTGTGTGGGTATTGGTTGGAAACTGAACCCAGTCCTCTGAAGAGCCTCCAGTGCTCTTAACTTATTACAATCACAGTGTTCCCCTCAGAGTCCTTCCACAGAAGACCTCACAGAGATGAACTTCTGTCTTGTAAGATGTGTGTCTTCAAGTTGGCTATACCCACAGCTTACCACTCTAGCAAGTCATAAACCTTGATATCAGTGAACTTCTTAGGTAATCTCTCTTAAGAGTGCTGCCTGGCCCTTTTAGTGTGCATTTTCCTGATTGCTAAGTATTATTAAACATGTATTGGACTGTTCTGTGCTTTGGTGAATGTGCCTCTTTCGATGCCTCCCTTGATATTCTGTAGCATGAGTTTTCTTTCATTTATTTCCATCTATTGTATCTGCTCATTTAATTGTCTGAAAGTTATAAACTATACTTCTGACTTTTTGAAAAAACATAAACCCAAACGTTTATTACATATACTTCAACATACATTTCCTGTGAGCATCTAACACCCAAAGAGCATTTTATCATCTCAAACTTTGTTTTTATTTCTTTCTGCTCAAAAGAAAATGTTTACAAACAGTTGGCTGATGATTGTATTGGATTTCACATATTGCTAATTAGAAGAAAAAGCTCACAATCAGAAGATATAAATGGCAGGATTTCCTAGATCTATAACAACAACAACACATTTGGAGATAAATGACGTAATTTGAAAAAATTTTAAAGGTGAATTAATAAGGGATTCAGCAATACACAGGAAAGGCAATGATCTCTGGGTTTTTACTTAAGAAACGAACATTAGTTGTTTTCCATACCACCATCAGTGTGTACTCTTGTGTAACTGGCAGTGAAAAGACAGTAAATATGTTTTCTAAATCATAACCCTAGGAGTCTAGCGAAGGTAACACTGAGATGCCCGCGTGTGTAAACCGCAGGGAAAGAGTTGGAGAAATGACAACACTGCTCAACGGAGTCTTTACAAGTTTAAAGATATATTTAAAGGGTTTCACTGGTGCACACTCATCGCACATGCTACCGGGCTATCTGAGGACACTTTGGACAATTGTGTGATGTATGTGCCGTTTTCTCTGTACTACCTGTGCTCATGCTCATCTCTCGCCCGTTAGTACTCTGTGTGTCCATAAACCATTTCTATTCTTCATTATTGTCATGTCCACGATTTTATGGATCTATACAAAATCTAGGACCAGAAAATGAGAGAAAACATGGGATGTTTGTGTGTTTGGACCGACTCAGGTCACCACACATGTTTATTGGTTCTTTGTTCATTCCCTGTTGATTGGCACCCCGGGTGCTTCTACAGCTTAGCTGTTGTGGACGGAGCGGCAGTGAACATAGACGTGCCAGTGTCTCTGTGATGTAGTCTTGGAGTCCTTGTGTAGATACCCGGGAGTGGTTAAGCTTGGTCACATGGTGGTTCTAACGTTTGGTTTTCTGAAGAGCAGCCATGGTGATTTCCACAGTGGTTGGAAGTGCACAAGGGTGCCTTTGGTTCCTAACCTCACCAGTGTTTGTTACTGTTCATTTCCTTAATGTCTATGAGTCTGACTGGGACAGCATGCTTTTAATTTGCATTCATGACTCCAGTGAAGCTGAACATTTTTTATTTCATCCTGACCCTTTGCTGAAAGTAATTACCAGCTCTAAGAGTTTTCTGATGAAGTCTTCCTGCTTTCTTATTTGCATGTCTTTTATTTCCTTTTCTTGTCTTACCGTTTCAGCTAATACTTCAAGCTCTCTATGAGAGTGAGCACTCCTACCATGTTGGTGAAAATACTTTGGGCTTCCTCCATTGGGTGTACTGTTGGCTATAGGTTTTTAGTGTGTTGGAGTTTACCCTGTTCTTAGCTTCTTCAGTTCTTTTGTTATAAAGCCATACTGTATTTCGTCAAAAGCCATTTCTGTGTCTGTGAAGACGATCATGAGGTCTCTGTCCTTGAGTCTATTTCTCTGATGTATTACATTTGCTGAATTGTACATGACGAGCCACTGGAAGGAAGCCGACTTGATCATGGTGAATGGTCTTTGTGATATGTACACGCAGTTGGTTTGCAAGAGTTCTTTTGATAACTTTTGCAGCAATGATCATTGGGGAAACTGGAAAACATTTCTCTTTTGTTATTGTTACATCTTCACTGGGATTTGATATCATGGTACATCTGTCCCCCTAAAAAGCATCTGTTAAAGGATAGCCTGTTGTTTATTGAGAGCAGTGTAATGATGTCCTCTAGTCGTACTGTGTAGGGACTTTTCTGTTATTACATCCATTGGCACCTCTTTTATGAACTTGGGTGCACTGTGCTCAGTGTGTTATGTGTTTCAAGTTGCAACATGCCCTTCATGGATTAATTGCTCCCCTAATCAGTATGAAGTGACCTTCTTTGGATCTGTTGGCTGATTTTAATTTTAGCCCATTTTGTCATGTATTAGAAAGGTAATAGTTGCTTGCTTTTTAGTCCCATTTGCTTGGAATTACTCTCCCAGACTTCACCCTGAGTTGACCCTTTCTTTGACGAAGACATGCCTTCTTGTAGGCAAGGAATAGATGGACTGCTTTCAGTCAATTCTGATGGTCTGGTGACTGTTGATTGGAGTAATGGACACAACTGATAGTTTAGTCATTGAAAGGTATATATTAAATCTTGTCCCCCTTTTTTGGTTTT